TTCGAGGCCGACGTCCGCGCCGCGTTCGACGCGACCGTCGCCGAGTGGGCCAGCGGCCTCGGCGACGCCCTCGACGGCGCCTGCGACGTGTGGATGAACGACGCCATCCAGCTCACGACGGCCCGGGACGCGGACGCGCCGCCGCCGGCCGCCGCGGCCGCGACGCCCGCCGAGGCGCCGGAGGACGCGCCGCCGCCGGAAGGCGCGCCGCCGCCGCCGCGGGCGGGGGTGGACTAGCCGCAAGTAGAGTTCAACGTCCCGAGGCTTGAAGGCGGACGTGCCGCTCGGAAGTAACTCCCTCCGCATCGCCGCGACGTGACATCACGTCGACGCGCGCCTCGACCGCGCGCCGCCGCCTCGACGCGGACGCCCTGGGCCTACAGGGACGACGATGCTCCAGCGCGGCGCCGCGCTCACGGACTTCCTGCTGGCTCTGACGACCTTCGCCTGCGCGTCGAAGCTCCTCCGCCTGCCGGCGCCGCGGCAGCCCTGGGTCGACGCCATGGCGCTGGGCCTCGGCTGCGAGGGCGTGGGCTGCGTCGCCGGCGGCCTGTCCTGGGCGTTGGGCGTCAACCTCGTGCGGCAGGAGGATCTGACGCTGGGCCAGTGGGCCATCGTGCTGACGACGGTGCTGGGCCGCGAGGAAATCAAATCTTCAATGTGCGCGCAACCGAACGGTTCGGACCAGCTTCTTCGGGCGTGCTTCGAGAACTCGACGAGAGCGATCGATTCGTTCAAAAATCAGCCGAATCGACTTCGATTTGGCCGAGCTAGAGAATTTCAAAGTTTGGTCGGGACGTCCCAAACCGGCGGTTGTTTTCCACTCAGGTGCTGGGCATGGCGAGCCAGGGCCTCGCGGTGCTCGTCGCCGCGGCGTCGTTTTTAGACCGCGACCGCGCGCCGTGGCGGCCCGCGGCCGCCGCGTTCCTCGGCGTGCTCTGCTACGAAGCGGGCTGCGTCTTTGCGCGCCTCGACGGGACGTTCGTGCTGCAGCCGGCGGGGCTGCCCATCGTCGCGTGGCCCGCGCTCCTGCCCGCGTGCGCGCGCCGCGGCGGCGGCGCCGGCGCCAAGGTCGCCGGCGGCGCGGCCCTCGTCCTCGCGG